GACAGGAGCAGACCGACTCTGTGTCAGCTGCTCTGAGTGCAGTGGCTCCTGGATGACTCAGGATTCAGTTTCTCCACAGGACAGGAGCAGACCAACTCTGTGTCTGCTCCAGCCCAGAGGACCAGGCAGGGGCAGAAGGTATTCTTATTTCTTTATGCTTCTTCATTTTGGCTAAACAGATATATATTTAATACATATTGGAATGGTCTGTTTAATTTATTCTGTTACCTTTTTATGTGTGTTCCTGGTAGTATTTCATTATTGGATGCCTTCTGTAGAATATTTACTATGCATTCTTAATTTTCTATGTTCTATTTAGTTAGCATTGCACCATTTCAGACATGCTAGAAAAATTTAAAAAGCTAAAGACTCATCAACCTCAACTTTCTTGCCAAAGTTGTCACATGATTTACATTTACATAGGTGCTATGATCTATCTTGTAGGGACTAGCAAGGTGTCTCAGTGGTGAAGAATGCACACTGCTCTTCCAGAAGATCTGAGTTTAGTTCCAGGCACTCACATTGTGCAGCTCACAATAACCTCTGTCTCTGGAGATCTGGCGCTCTCTCTGGTCTCTAGGAGAACTGCACTCATGGGCTCACCCCTCCCCCAGCACATATAATTAAATTAAATTAAATTAAATGCCTACCACATAGTGTTATTGTTTTATTTTAAACAATTATTTCAAGAAAAAAAGGAATTTTTCTCATGAACATATACTTACTCATGTCCTTTATTGTTCCCAGTAGATTTCTATTTCTGACTAATATAATTTTCCTGGCCCTTGACATTTTGTCCTTAGCTTTCTTCTCAGTTTTAATATGCAATACAAGTATGCTAGTGGGGTTTTGTAAACTATCTTTTTCTTGAAAGTGCTAACCCCATCCTCATTTTTGAAGGGTGTCATGTCTAATCAGGATAGAGCTGAAAGCTTGTCTGTTTGTCTGTTTGGAGGCTAGCTTTGTTCCAGTGTTATTTTCTGGCTCCCTTTGTTCCTGTGGTGAAGTCAGTTATCATCTGTCACTGTCCCTACTAATATGTCTGACCCTTCCCTCTGGCTGCTTTAAGATATTCTCTTTAGTATTTTGGCAGCTTGGCAATGGATGCATGACAATTTGCTTTTAGAAATCTTTTCTGTCTGGTGTAGTGAATATATTGGATCTGTAAGTTAATGTCTGTCTTCAAACATCAGGAATGGGCTGGCAAGATGGGTAAGCGTGTATAGGTGCTTTCTATCAGGTGGCCCTCCCATGTTTCATCCTTCCCAAACAGTTCCACCAAGCAAGACCAAGCATTCGAATATATAAGTCTATGAGGGCCACTTTTATTCAAACCACTACACAGAGTGATAGTAGAGAGGGGGAAGGGGAGGAGATAGGGAAGGGGAGGGAGAGGGAGAGGGAGAGGAAGAGGGGGAGGGAGAGGGGAGGGGGAGGGAGAGGGAAAGGGAGAGGGGAGGGGGAGGGGAGGGGGAGAAGAGGGACTGGATGTAGGGGTTGGGGTTAGAGAACATACTTCTTTGCCTTCTACTTCCTGTCCCACCTACATCCCCAGCTGAGTGTTGAGTGCCTGCCCATACTGAGGGTGGGGTCTTTCCCTTATTATTTTGCTGACCCTTAGTCAGTCTTCTCAGGCAGTGTGCTTACAGATACACCCAGAAGTATGTTTCCATTGGAGCCTTCAAATCGACACCTCACACCAACCATCATGATGAGCAACAGTCTGGTGTTTAATCAGGTGCTGGTGTTGTCCTTGGTGTGCTGTCCTGGATAGAGCAGGCAGACAGGATGGCTGCTTGATGACCTTCACACACACAGCCATCGTGACATGACTCATCCCCTCCCCCCTACCCCCGCTTTCCCACCATTCCCTTTCCTTGCTATCACTCTGTACCTTACGCTGGCTGTGGTATTTCCCCAGTCACCCAATGTCTTCAAGCACAAGAACTTGTTGCAATGGAATGGTTTTCACTTAGATCACTTAGATTTCCCCTCAAGAGTTGGGTGTTGAGCTGGCTGTGGTGGTGCGCACCTGTAATCCTAGCAATGGGGATTGGAAGTAGGATGGTAGGAGTTCAAGGTCATCCTCAGCTACATAACCAGCTTGAGTCCATTTTGGGCTGCACGAGAAGACCACCTCTCAGAAAGATTACATGGAACCTCTATTTCTGGTGATCGTCCTAGGACACCTGATCTGTCTCAGAAACATTGACCTACCTTGGCCCACCCACCCTCTCTCCTGTGTATACTAGACATGAGATCCCTTCAGAGTAAAGTTCTACTTATTTCTACTTATTCCTCTTACAGTTTGTATTTTATACTGTAGAGGAACTTGAGTGAACACTGCTATAGCATCTCTGACACAACTATTTATCTTTTTAGTTTTATCAGCAATATAAATTATACAATGGGTTTCATTGTGACATTTCCATAGATGCATATAATGTATTTTGTTCATATCCACATATACACCCATTATCCTCTGTGCTCCCATGCCCACTGATTCCCTGTTTTTTCCCAACTAGTTGTTCTTATGTGTTCATGTACTTGTTTGTGGAGAATCAATGAGTTTAGTTAGAGCCACTTAGAGGAACACGGGTATCGGGTTATTTACAGGTATATAAGCAATGTACCAGTGGCCATATAGTCATATAGTCTGATTTTCCTGAGGAAAATGTCTCTCCCTCTCTCAGCAACCACAAGTTGCCTTTATGATCAGTGACAGGGCTTCATGATATCCCCCTGCCCAGCAGCAGTTAACTGTCTGTAAATCATCATTGGGTAGGGGTGGAATGCCATGAGCCCTTCCTCTCTGTATGATAAGATGTTGACAGACACAATATTGTGCAGCTGCTAGGAGTTCACTGGTGGGACACCCAAGTCATTCTCAGAAAACAGAGTTTCATAGCAACTGCCCCCCAAGCCCTTGCTTTGTTTCCTTCCCCTTTTCTGCAATGTTCCCAAGCCTTGGAGGGAGTGGTCTAGATGTCACACTTAGGGGCTGAGCATTCGACAGTCTCCCCCTCTCAGCATGTAGGTCATGTATACATCTGTGCAGTTGCTAATGGAAGTGTCTCTAACACAAAGATTTCTAAGGAACTGTCTTAGTTAGGGTCACTATTGCTGTGATGAAATGCCATGACCAAAAGCAACTTGGGAAGGAGAGAGTTTATTTGGTTTACACCTCTACTTCATCACTGAAAGAAATCAGGGCAGGAGTTCAAACAGGGCAGAATCCTGGAGACAGGAGCTGATCCAGAGGCCATGGAGGAGTGCTACTTACTGGCTTGTTCCTCATGGGTTGCTCAGCCTGCTTTCTTATAATACCCAGAACCACCAGCCCAGGGTGGCCTTACCACCCTGGGCTGGACACTCTCTCATCAATCACCAGTTAAGAAAACACACTACTGGCCTACATCTTATGAAGGCATTTTCTCAGTTGAGGTTCCCTTGTCTCAAATGACTATCCTGTGTCCCGTTGACATTAAAAACTAGCCAGGACAGGAACCACAGTGTGGGCCTATGAGGATGTGGAATATGTACCAATCCTTTCAATAGAGAGAAGAAATGTGTGCACAAGCTATTGCACAGTCAAACTCATGTCTCACCAACATTCTCCTTGCCTTTGCAGAGCTGTGTCTGTATGACCCACCAGAGGTCCCCAATGCCACATTCAAAGCCCTCTCCTACAAGAATGGCACCATCCTAAACTGTGAATGCAAGAGAGGTTTCCGAAGACTAAATGAGCTGGTCTATATGCGTTGTTTAGGAAACTCCTGGAGCAACAACTGTCAGTGCACAAGCAACTGTAAGTGTCCCTTTTGCTACCTGGATGAGAAAGGAATTAGGGATAAAAGGAGAAGGACTCAATCTCCCATTAACTTGGACCAACAGATAAAAAATGGTGGATGAGGGACTGGAGAGATTGCTCAGTGGTTAAGAGCACTGACTGCTCTCCCAGAGGTCCTGAGTTCAATTCCCAGCAACCACATGGTGGCTCACAACCATCTGTAATCGGATCTGATGCTCTCTTCTGGTGTGTCTGAAGAAAGCAAACAGTGAACCCACCTACATAAATAAATCTTTTAAAAAATGGTGGAGGAATCTATGAATAACAGATTTTAAAGGCGTCTATAATATCCACTCATCTAACGTTAATGATGTCTACTTGGTCTTAGAACTAGACTTGCTAAGTTCTTGACTAAGCCTGAGTCAATCTGATAGATTCCAGGACTTTGCTGTTGGCTTCTCCTCTTCCTTGAGTTCACAATGCTCCTTCACACAGCCTGTTTCTCAGTTTCCTCTCCATTCCGGAGTGTGCATATATATTTTTTTCATTGCATATATCCATTATACATAGTACTGTGTTAAATAAGAATATTATCATGCAGGTATACACCATAGAATGAACATATTCTGCCCCTACCTGAAACCCCCACTCTCTCCTCTATTTCCCCTCCCCTCCATTACTAACTTTTAGTTTCCTTAGACAGTTTTCTTGTACTTTCAGGTCATATAGACATCGTTACATTTAGTTACCTATAGAAAGTCCAGGAACTACGAATGAAAGAAAACATATTTTTCTTTCTGGGGTTGCCTTAATTTGTTTAATATTGTTTTCTCTAGGTGCATTTATTTTCTTTATGGCTTAAAAAAATTTCATCCTAGCTGAGCTGAGGGTAGTGGCACATGTCTTTAAACCCAGCACTCAGTAGCCAGAGGCAGGTGGATCACTGTGAGTTTGAACCCAACCTGGTGTATAAAGTGAGCTCCAGGACAATCAGGACCGAATAGTGTGTGTGTGTGTGTGTGTGTGTGTGTGTGTGTGTGTGTGTGTGTATTAAAGAATAATCCATATATTCCACATTTGCTTTAGTCATTCCTCTGTTGTTAGATACCTAGGTGGGTCCCATAACTGATCTGTTGTTCCAGTCAGCTTTATTTTTTAACCATGAGGATGGAGGGGATCAGTGAGCCAAACCATGGGTGGAGGGCAGAGTTTAAAGATGACTGCTCTATTGAAGTGCCTGGCTTACTCATCCTCCAACCATCTCCCTTTATCCAAAGCTGGATTTCCATTGTCCCCTTACTGAGGTGCTCATCTGTAACCTCTCTACCAGTTCTTCACAACGGCAGACGTTTTCTGACCATTGCCTTAAGAGCACATTTCTCCAACTTGAACTGCTTTGAACCATTCGAGGGGAGTGGAGGAGCTAAGTAAACATTGAAGTTAGATCACTCCTTCCTGCCATGTGCCACATTGGTGGCACTGGTGACAAGGAACGAAGCCACTTATGTCTCATCCACATGCACACAAGGATTTCCCAGGAGGAGAAGCTTGGCATTTCTTCTAGCAATATGTTGTATCTGATGCCAATATGCATATAAATATGGAGAGGCCAGTGCTGGGCTATGTGTGCCGGCCCCATCCAAGGTGCCCTACTGAGCCCTGCCTGGCTGGGGTGCCTGGGCACAGCTGACGTGCTCGCTTGCTCAGGGGAGGCAGAATGAAGTCCATAATGGTGGCACACAGTCTGTGTTTTCCCAGAAGGGGAAATGTCGGAGTCTGGGTCAAGTGGTAGGTTTCCCAGTCTCCTGTGGTTCACAGGTGAACCACTGTGAGTCAGGAAAGTTGAGGGGAGGGTGCCCCCCAGTCCACGGGGGTTCCCCCAGTCCACATTTCCCCTTAGGGTGCCCACATGCTGGGCAGGAAGGAGGAAGGCAGAGCCCAAGACAGGCAGAACCCAGCTTGATTCAGAGTGCCAAGAGTATGGAGGGGCTGGAAGAAAGAAGGCCTTCTTCAGGAGATTTGGGTGCTGCTCTTTAAAAGCAGGGAGACAATCCTTGCCTGCTCGTGCTGGTTTATTTGATAGTAGATGAAACTACACACACTTTATTCAGGGTGAGCCAGTGATTAAATACCTTTTGCGGGAAGGAATGCCCAGGAAGAGACACTCATTGGTTGATGGCTCAGGGATACTTAGGTACCTCATTAGCAAGGAGAAGAATTCCAGGTATTTATGCTATGTGGCCCAGTGCCCATGGTCCTCAATGGAGTGTCATGGTTACATGTTCCAGAGCAGGTAGAGACAAGCAGGGAATGGCTTCACTCCTGCCATTCTCAGTTTTGAGATTCCTGGGGTCTGAGCTCATTCAAGCTTGTTATTCTCATGCCTGACTGGTAACAAAGTCCCACATGCCCTATGCAAGGGAGGCCTTGTTTGTTTATCTCTGCACACTCAGCACAGATATATCCCTGGCACCAGAGAGATGTCCCAGGGTGAATGACCGCACCAACAGCTCTTCCTATTCTGAGCATTTGATTCTCCCATATTCTCTAGCCCGTGACAACTCAAGAGAGCAAGTTACACCTCAACCTGAAGACCAGAAAGAGCAACAAACCACAGACATGCAGAGATCAACACAGTCTGTGCACCCAGAGAACCTTACAGGTAAGACATGCACCTCAACAACCATCCTCTAGCTGGCTCCTGGAAACTGGCCTTTGGTTACATGGAAAAGATGAACCAAAGAAGGGAGATTAGTTCTGTTCTCAATAGGCAGGTACAACTCGTTCTCCTCCTCTCAGAATTCCATGCAGATAACTCACTGCTTAGCATTTCAAGCCACTCTTTCTGATAGTAACATAGGCGACTGTTTAGGAACTGTTTAGGAATCCTATAGATTCAATTCAATTCAATTCAATTCAATTCAATTCAATTCATAAGCATGTGTTGGCAATATCTCCAATCTAGACACCACCCACAGAAGAAAGAACGAATCTCTCCTATTTTCTCTTAAGCACAAACCAATGAACTTGGAGCAAAACCACTGGTAACGATTTGCCTTTTACAGTACAGAGTTGTAAAATGATAGCCCCAGACACTTATTCACTACTCCGTGAGGTGTGGATGAGTGGGCTCTGTGTCTACTCACACTTTCCCAGATGAAATGATAATACTTAAATTAAGCCACGATGTAAAGAGGAAAGAGATTGCTAGTGTTAGACCTGAGATTTGCAGGGACCAGTGAGCCATAAGAAGACCCCATAATCTTATGATAAAGTTATAGCCTTACAAAGAACTTTATTGCATCATGTATAATCTCATTTAGACCCACAGCTGAGTGACTCAGGGTGCAGGAAGAGATTCCTTGATTATCAAAGAAACTAAGACACAGAGCCTTGAAACGGTTTAGCTAAAGTCACATCACAGAGTGGAAGCAAGACCTCTAGTCCCTCTTTCTTCTGAGAGCTTATTTTTAGCTACTTAAAAATTACTCACAGCATCCAATGTGTGTGTGGGGGGGGAGTCCAATACAGAAGCAATGTGATGTTTTCAGTCCCTTTTCTCTTCTAGCTCTGCCCTGGAATAATGTTTTTCAAATAAATAGATTTAATGTTTTCTCTTCTCTCCTGGTAACTGGTTCCAATCCCTACAGTTACTGAAAGGTCTCTGTTGGTGGGTTGTCAATATTTTTTCTTACTCAAGAGATCATTAGATGAACTGGGCATAGTTGTACATGTCTGTAATCCTAGCATTTGGAGAGCAGAAGCAGGAGGATGAGAAGTTCAAATCCATCCTGAACTGTATGATACCCTCCTCAGCCCCAAATAATGAGGGGGAAGGGATATGGGGAGGAGGATGGAGATGAGGGATGGGGAGAAAGAGGGGGGAGGGAGGGGAAGGGGGAGAGAGAGAGAGGGAACAAGCTGTTTCTAGCTGAGTGATGTTTCATAAATTGCCATAGTTTGAGGTTTAAAGAAAAAAAATCAAAGAACCTGTCAACAGGTTCTGTCAACTATGATGCTTCTTGATCTTAAAATAATTCATTCTGAGACTAAAACTCAGTCCCAGTGTTGTTACGCAAAGTGCAGTGTAACAGAAAATGGCTAAGGTCAGGGACACCCAGCTTCCTGTGGGGGCAGAGAGTTTGTATATGGTTCTTTGGGGGATTGTTTTGGGTACTCAGATGTTTTGAAAATCTGGAAGATTCTAAACCTATGAGTAATTTATGATCCAGAGTTCGACATCACGTATAGTTCTGTCTGATTAGATGGAGAGCCATTGGTAAGAGTTACAAGATTAATTCAGAACAGGCCATGATCTCTGCAGCCGAAGTCCAGCCAAGCCTGGATTCATTCCAGTGAGTGAGAAGTCGCTAGGTGTAGGGTCTTGACAGGATCAATGTCGGTCTCCCTTCAGCTGTGGTTTAATCAAAGATGACCCATTTCTCTGAGATTCTCTCAGTGTCTCCCTTCCTCCAGACATTAGCTTTGTCCTGGGTCAGCTCCCTCAAGTCCCAAGCTGACTACTAACTGCTACTCAGATTTGTTCCTCCTAACGTAGTCAGTGGACTTACAGAGAGGTCTGTCCATCTGCTCCACCCAGCTGCTGTCTCTCAGCAGAGAGCCTCAGGGTCTTTGCAGCATGGGTCAAATGAAATGCACATTCTCCCTGTGCCCTGGCAAGCATCCTCTCTTCACCCGGTCCACCTTCCTCTGTCTTTCTCACCTAATCAACTATTCAACTCGTGCAGGAGTGACCACCATGTGACTTTTCCTGGGGAGACCTAAACAAACATCTGGTCACTAGATAGAGCACTGATCTCAAACTAAAGAAACGATCCCACCCAAGTATCATGTAACGAGCCAATGAATTCATTGGGCTTATTCTTGGGAGCAAGGGTAACTCAAATTCAGCTGCATCATCAGAAACCCCACCTCAACATGGATGGAAACCCTTGAAAGCTGCATCTCTGGAGCTCCCTATAGGACTGGCAGAAGACTCCAATAGTTTGAGATTCCTTTCCCTCAGTCGTTGTTTATGTAACAGTAAGGGAAGAGGGGTGGTGAGTTGCAGGAGCATCCTGACATCTGCGGGGTTTGCTTATTTTTTTGAGTCTTAAGGATCCCCCCTCCAAGAGGGAATATTCCAACTCAGAGGAAAAATCTGCACCCCTGTGGGTTCCATGCCTTCCTAATGCCTACATTGCTGACAGCTGGATTCTATCAACACTTGTAGGTTTGGTGAAAGCAAAACAAGTAAATAAGAACTGAGGTCCAGTTTTAGCCACCAGAGTTGCTCTGGGTGAAAGAAATAACCTAGAAGCACTCGTTGTGCCATCCCAAACTTGCCTTCAGAGTTCTTTTCCTCTTCCAGGTCACTGCAAGGAGCCCCCTCCTTGGGAACATGAAGATACCAAGAGAATCTATCATTTCGTGGAAGGACAGAGAGTTCACTACAAGTGTATGCAAGGATACAAGGCTCTACAGAGAGGTCCTGCTACCAGCATCTGCAAGATGATGTGTGGGAAAACAGGGTGGACTCAGCCCCAGCTCACGTGTGTAGATGAAAGAGAACACCATAGATTTCTGGGTAGGTTGTTCCTTTCGTATGGCCTTCCCGTTCTTTCCTCATCTGGACCAAGGTGAGACTCCACACTACCATGGGACCTGGGGAAAGCCACTTGATCTTCTAGGTCCCATCTTTTAAGAAACAGAACACGTGACATACCGAGGTCCCCTTAACTCTACCTAGAGATGGTTAAAGGCAGGGAAATGAGGATCTCTCCAGTGCTCTGAACCATACAGGATTCTGTCTCTTGGATAGAGTACTATCCTGTATCTATCCAAGCCTGAGCTTCTGTAACTTCTGCCCAACACCAAGATATTCCATTGTTCACAAGGGGAAGTTGAGCATCATGCCCACATGTCCCTTCTTGGTACTTACGTGTCATTTGCACTGCGTTCCATTGTCATTACAGTCCTTTGTAAAAGTCCCCTCAATCTTCGATAAAAAGTACAAGTATGTGGGAAGTGGTTCGCTTCAGCATGTGTTTTCCCATGCCCAGTCCTGCTCACGTACAACCTGCCTGCACTGAGGTCTTCAGCTATCTTTGTTTGAAATCTTACTACTTCCATAATGAAAAGCTACCCATATTCTCTGATGAGTTTTCCTGGGTTTTTTGCTTACTGTCATCTGTCACATTTCATGGCTTCCTCTGTGGTTCTCTCAGGATGCTCTTTGCTTCTCATAACTTGCCTCCAGTGAGCCACTCCCATGGCCAGGGCAAGCCAATCATCTTCCTTGAAAGAGGTGGAATGACAAAGGCCCTGGCTGTCTGAGTTAGGGTTAATATTGCTGTGATGAAACACCATGATCAAAAGCAACTTGGGGAGGAGAGGGTTTATTTGGCCTACATTTCCACATCATTATTTAAGATGGAAGGAAGTCAGGAAACAGGGCATGGACCTGGAGGCAGGAATCGATACCAGGGACATGGAGGAGTACTGCTTATTGGCTTGCTCCTCGTGGTTTGCTCAGCCTGCTTTCCTATTGAACCTAGGACCACCAGCTCAGAGGTGGCTCCACCAACAATGGGCTGAGCCCTCCTACAGCAGTCATTTATTAAGGAAATCCCCTACAGGTGTGCCTACAGCTCAATGTTATGGTGGCATTTTCTCAACTGAAGTTCCCTCTTCTTCAGTGACTCCAGCCTATGGCAAGTTGATGTAGAACCAGCCAGCACACTGTGTCACTGATTACAAAGGAATTGTTAAAGCTCCATTTGTCTCCATTTGGTGGTGGTGGTTGTGGGGTGTGAGTGTGTGTGTGTGTGTGTGTGTGTGTGTGTGTGTGTGTGTGTGTGTGTTCTTCTGACCCATTTCCAAGTCAAGGGTGGAATCCAGGGCTGAGTCCAAAGCCTGGAGAGAAAGATTTGTCCAGAGTTCCATAGATAGCCACTGTCAGGGTACAATTCCCTTTTACATGTTTTTCTATGGCCCCTTAACTGCTTTTAGTGCCCCTGGTGTGGAGCTGTGTCCCAGAGACATGCCCCAAAAAGGTGCCGATGCCTTAGCAGGTGTATCGAGGGCCAGGAGCCCCAGATGGTGGATGGAGGAAGGCATTAGATCCCATATCACCGTCTTTGGCTCCAGATACAATGCTTTCTTTCTTTTGCAGCTAGTGATGAATCTCAAGGAAGCAGAAATTCTTTTCCTGAGAGTGAGACTGCCTGTCCCATCAGCACCACAGGTATGGAGAGACTGTCCATGAACAGAGATTTGGCCACCAGGCAAGGGCAGACAGTGGCTATACAAGCCTCTCAATTAATGAATATGAAGAGGAGGGGAAGCCAGCTGTAGTTGCTTCCTTCTTCTCTAAAGCAAGGATATGGCCATAGCAACATAATCAACCCAGGCAGTCTGGGAAGATGGCTCAGTTGGTAAGGTGCTTGTCATGCAAAGCACAAGGACCTGAGTTGGATCCCTCAGAAACCACACTCAATTTTTTTTTAAATAGCTACATAAGGCAGTGATTACCTATACTCCTAGCACCGAGGAGGAGGAGACATGGTGATCTCTGCAGCTTGCTGGCCATCAGCTAGAGTAGCTGAACCAATGAGATTCAGGTTCTGTAAGAGATCTCATAAAACAAGGTAATCAATTAAGAAAGATATCTGAGGTTGACCTCTGGCCTCCATAGGCTCATGTGCATGGGCACGTGCACACACACACACACACAAATGTGTACACCTCTCCACATACACAAACAATCTAAGGAAGGAGAAACCACAGGACAGAGGTTGAGGTCTCCAGACAGATGCTGCTCACTTGACCCTCACACCCCTTCCCCCAACCTGAGTGACTAGCCTACTTGGGGAAGCCCCTCCTCTCGCAGACTCATACAGTCCTACGCTGGCCGTAAAATAAGTATCCACTCAGCTCTCTTTTCCACAGACTTCCCACAACTCACAGAAGCAACTACAACAACGGAAACCTTCGTGCTCACAATGGAGTATCAAGTAGCAGGTGGGCCAGCTCATTTCCTTTACAGACAAATGGTGCAGCACGCCAAGACGTGGGTAGTTTGGCTGGTTGCCATGACCCCTTCCCTCACTGTTTCTAAGGGTAGACAATGGCTTTAATTGCTATCATTGTTCAAAATCCCATGGATCTGCTGCAGTACGTTGGGAGTTGTATTACCTACCTTTTTCGTTGCTGTGACCAAAAGCCTGACAAAACAAACTGAAGGAGAGAAAGGTTTGTTCTGACTCCCAGTTCTGGGATCTAGTCCATCACTATGAGGGGCACAGCAGCGGGAGGCTGAGCAGCTGGTCACAGTGCATCTGTGGTTAAGAAACAGAGAAAAACTAGCCATGGTGGTATATGCCTTTAATCCCAGCACTTGGAAGGCAGAGGCTAGCCTGGTCTGTACAGTGAATTCCAGGAGAGCCAGAATGACATAGTAAGAACCTGTTCCAAAAAATAAAAGAAATTTTAAAAAGTGAAAGATAAAAGCTTGTATTCAGCTCACTCTCCTTTTTGGAGCCCACAGAATGGGACCCCACTTTTGGAGCAGGTCTCCTTCTCACCATGTAACCTGATCTGGATAACCTCTCATGGACACACCCAGAGATTTATCTCTAATGTGACTCTAGAACCTAGCAATCAACGTAAGCCAAGACTGTCGTCAGAGCTAAACCTTAAATAGCCCTAATCCAGTTTCTCCCATATACATCTTCAAGAACAAAGTCCCCCAAACTTTAGCGAGGGACAAAGCAAGGACCCAGGGAGAGAAAAAAATAATGTCCATAAGCACCTCAGTTATTCTGGTAGGAGGCAAAAACAGGCCTCAGAGCTATACCTTCCTGGACCACTGAATAATGGCGGGTTCTGGAAGCTTCCCGAGTCAGCATCTGGGAGGTGTGAGCAATTCCAGGAGATAGCAGTGTGTTCGGGATTTCTTATCTTCTTTCAACATTTCCTTCATGAAAGATGCTGCTAGTGAGGACTGCCCTTTGGGCCTTCCTCAAGTTGAGCTGTACTGTCTGGAGGAGAAGTGCCAGCCTCTTTCTATGGCTGTCTCTTCCACACCCACTTCTACTCGTTGAAGGCTCCTTGAACCTTCTAAGAAATCCCCAGGGAGGGGAGGGAAGAAAGGAGAACCTGTAGGCCTCAGCTGTTCAGGATGTCCTTGCTCACCTAGGGAATTTTCTTATCTCATCTATGGATCCAGCCATCTACCCAGGACCTCCCCAAAGCATGGCCACAACCTGAACTCCCTCTCCCTCCCCCGCCCAACCTTCTCTCTCTCTCTCTTGACAGTGGCCAGCTGCATCTTCCTGCTCATCAGCATCCTCCTCCTGAGTGGGCTTACCTGGCAACATAGATGGTAAGTCCAACAATGGAAGGACCTAGCACCCCAATGTCTGGTCCCTGGCCTGGCAGCATGAACATTGCCCAGGATTTGGCCTCAGCCAACAGGCTGGGGATAGCACCTATGCAAGCACAAGACTTATATTCAATCCCTAAAAGCTTTGTTAAAAAAAAAATTCAATGTGATGGCATTTACCTACAACTGTATAGTTCTAGAGCTGAGGGGGGGCAGGCAGAGATGGATCCCTCATACTCTCTGGCCAGCCAGCCTAGTGAAACTGGTGAACTCCAGGTTCATCAGGAAACCCTGTTTCAAAAGTAATGTGAATAGTATCCTAAGGAACAATACTCTAGATTGACTGTAGTCCCCGCATACATTAACTCCCTGATACACGTACTCTTACTGAACGTGTATGCCCGGTACTGAATGGGTTATATTAGCAAATATCAACCCTGTTCTCAGAGATCTGTGCTGTTTAGAGATTAGGAAAAGCTAGACTACACAAATGTGTAGATAGAGAGAGTTTTAATCCTATTTAGATATCTTCAACCTTGCTATCCATCCACCAGGGCTTTACCGTTGTTGCTGGAACAGACCATGCCACCCCACCCTCCCCAACTCTACTAATCCTCTGCTAAAACCCAGCATGGGTAGCAAGGGATGGAGAAAGGAGACAGGGACCGTGGCTAGACCAGGCTTGATGATCTGGGTGAAGGTTGCTGGGTATTCACAAGGCTTTAAAGACAGTGCCGAGCATTGAGTGTTAATACAGTGAGAAGCTCCTGGATAGCAGGAGCAGGGGAGGCTCTGTATTCCGGCTATGTCTGTGTGTCCGTCTGTCCGTCTGTCCGTCTGTCTTAGAGTTCCCTCGGTTTTTAGGTCCCAAGTATCTTGGTCAGTGATATCTACCATAGTTCATATAATGTCTTCTTAAGGATAAACAAAATTTCAAGCCATGAGTAAATAAAGAGTTTTGTGTGAGACAGAAACCAGAAATTAGGAATCAGGAATCTAGGTAAGTACGCGTACTTGCGTGCAAGCACACACATGAACACGCGTACACACACACACACACACAGACTGGGGCTTGGGGGAGAACTGTGTATGGTGGTACATCCCGTTGCTCTCAGCACTCAAGAGCTGAGGCAGGAAGGTCATGAGTTTGAGTTTGAGAACAGCTGTGCTGCACAGAAAATCCCATGTCAACTTTAGCCACACAGTGAGACCTGTCTCTATATAAATAACATGCGGGGGGGGGGTGCAGTTCAGCTGGTAGAGTGTGTGCTGAGCATGCTTACCAAGCCCGGGCTTGATCACAGCACCATAAGAGGCCAGGTACCGTGACATACACCTCTAACCCCAGAACTCAGGAAGTCATCCTGGGCTATACGAGATCTTATATCAAAAACCTAAACACTTTATTTAAAGAAAAAATGAACTTAAGAATGTAAAACCATCTTGAGAAAAGCCAAATGCATCCTGATTAGAGTCGACTGTGAGAGATGTTCTTTGTTTCATTTCCTGCGGTTATGACAAAACACCTCAGCAGAAGCAACCTGAGAGAGACGGAGCTTATCCGGCTTACAGGTCCAGGATGCAGTCCATCCTCGTGTGGCAGCTAAGGTGGCCAGAACCTGAAGCAGTTACTCTTATCACACCCTCCATCAAAAGCAAGGAGCAATGGGTTAGCATGCACACTTACGCCACACTTATTCCTCTTTTTATACAGTCTAGAACCCAAACCCATTTAGGCTGGGTCTTCTCCCAACTGATTGCAGTAATGAAGACAATCCCCTGCAGACATGCTCACAGACAACCTAATCTAGGTAATCCTCCATTGAGATTCCCTTTTGGTAACTTTAGGTTGTGTTAAATTGGCAATTAGAACTAAACCATCGCTGGGCGGTGGTGGAGCACACCTTTAATCCCAGCACTTGGGAGGCAGAGGCAGGCGGATTTTTGAGTTCAAGGCCAGCCTGGTCTACAGAGTGAGCTCCAGGACAGCCAGAGATAAACAGAGAAACCCTGTCTCGAAAAACCAAAAAAAAAAAAAAGAACTAAACCATCATAGTGCCAGATGTCAAGGGTGTGCCCTCCTGCCAGAGCAGGTTCTGGCCAGCCCTGATACTCTGAAATCTTTAATAACATAGCCATAGGGTAGGTGGGTGGGAATCTGATTTCTTCCATTCTTATGTTGTTCATCTGGCCTACTCTCCACTTTTCTTAAGTAGACCGAGAAGCAGAAGTCATTGAGGTCCAAAGGAGGATGCCCCGATAGTCGTTGTGCTCGAAATGACCCATAGCCCTGACAGTCTACCAGTTTCCTTAAGGTGTTCTTTCAGAGTTGTGGGAGATGAAACATGATGTAATACACCTGACAGTCTAGCCCTCAGTACTTGTGAGACGTTCTTCATGCTCAGGATGAGCATCTACCTGGCATGGACCATTTCGTCTGGTATCTTGAAGACACAAACACTCAGAACCAGAGGACAAGGTTCATCGTGAGCAATGATAGCTTAAGTTTACAGTGTGAAGTAAGAAACTGTCTAAGACTGTGTGAGTCCCCTAGACCTCCCAGGACCAGGGCCATTAGGGAGACTGAACTATAATCTCAATATGACCCCTTTGGTCAGAGAACATGTCCAAGAAAACAAAAACAAAACACTTCTGAAATCCCAGCCCGAAGGAGTCCAGCATAACAAGATCCTGTTACAGATGCATAGGTGCCTCAGGTTTACACACACTCCCCTATGGACACATGATTAAAAGTGATACAGATAGATAGATAGATAGATAGATAGATAGATAGATAGATAGATAGATAGATATGAAAACAAAGTCTACTTTCTAGAAGCTAATTTCATCTAATGCTGCCCTCTTGTGGCCGACTGGAATTTCTACCTCTGAATTCTGAAAATTTTTATCTTTGCCAGAGTGCTTTGGTTGTTTTTGGGACACTCACTAGGAGCTAGGAGTGTGCACTGGCTGGCTCACATTGGCTATGTTTTCAGGAATTTTATGGTTTTTTTGTTTTGGTTTGGTTTGGTTTTTTGTTTTTCGAGACAGGGTTTCTCTGTGTAGCCCTGGCTGTCCTGGAACTCACTCTGTAGACCAGGCTGGCCTCGAACTCAGAAATCCGCCTGGCTCTGTCTCCCAAGTGCCGGGATTAAAGGCGTGCGCCACCACTGCTCGGCTGATAAAATTATTTTCATTGCTACTTCATAACTGTAATTTTGCTGCTGTTATGATTTGTAAGGTAAATAGCTATGTTTTCCAACACTGTTAGGTGACCTCTGTGAAAGGGATTTTGATCCTCCCTCCACTCAGAGGGGTTCCCATCCACAGGTTGAGGACTGCTGGTTTAGGTGTTTTTGAGACAGATTTTTACTTTGTAGCCCAGGAAGCCCTTGTTTTCACTGTGGTGCCCTTGTTTTCATTGTGTAGCCCAGGCATCTTTGAACTAACCTACCACACAAATTTGTGTTGGGACTACAGTGGTATACCATAACACTAGGTATGGCGTGTATTTATGCAATAGAACTATGCAGCCATCTTCATGGATCTGGTTGTTAGACGTTCTCAACACACACCTGCTTGGAGCTGTGGCCTGTGACATTCCAAGTGAACTGGGTTACTGTAGTTCTGTAAGTTTAATATACCATTAAAAACTCTGTTTCTGGTGCTGAAAAGATAGATCAGTAAAGTACTTGTCTTATGAGCATAAAACCTGGCTCAAGCCCAGAACCCACATAAAAACAAAAAAAAACATAAAAACAAAACAAACAAACAACAACAGCAACCAACAGCAACAACAACAACAACAACAACAAAAACCACTGAGCACAGTGGGCACTTATGATCACAGGGCTGGAGAGGCAGAGATATGGGACAACCAGCCTAGCCCTTCTTGGAAAGTTCCAAGCCAGTGAGAGACCCTGTCTCAAAAATATCAGAGTATCTGGCTCCTGGGGAATGAGAGCCAAAGTTGTTCTCTGGCCTCCACATGTAATACACACACACACACACACACACACACACACCTACCTTAGTTCCTTAGTTATATTAACCATATTCCAAGTTTTCACTACAAGCATACATTCACTGAGTACCAACGACCTCCATCATTGCAGAATACCTGCAGGCCAGCTCTAGCTAGCAGCAAGGAGTCTCCGCTCACACCAATCACTCAGGATATTTAATGGTGACTCTTATTCCAACTCAGCAGTTACTATTCCACAGGACTAAATGAGGAAAAGCCCACAACTGCCAAGTGTTGGATGTTACATCATGGGCCACAGACATGCACAATTCAGCCCTGCTCCTGGGAACTAGTAGACTGGAAGAGGGAAGAAAAAACCTTGAGTGTTTTTGTGGTGCTGGGGATATAGGTCAGTAGTAGAATTTTTTCTTGGCCCTGGGTTCAATCCTTAGTATAGAAGGAAAAGAGGAATAGAAAATATGGAGGAAAAGAGGAAGGGAGAGACAGAGGGAGACTTGTTAAAGGTCTAATATAGAAATATGTAAACAAGAACATTTAATCTACATGGGATCCAAAGACAGCTTACTGAGCTGATGGCCTCTGAAGTGTCAGATAAACCAAGGCAAGAAACAGCTCCTGGACAAGGAAGCTGGGGTACCTACGGAATTGTGAGATCCTGTGGTGATGTCTGGGAGAAGGTTGGGTTACAGGATCTAAAGTGAATGGGGACCATGGCCACAATGATACTACACTGCTCAGATGGAAAGAAATACTGTCATGGAAGATGAGGCCACATTGAGGAGCTGTGACAAGATGCTGATGTGACAGTACCTCAGATCACCTCACCTAGGAGAGAAACAGTAACCTTAGGTGACCTGTATGCAGCGTAGAGGCCAGGTTTACCATGGGCAATGTGTCAGCAATTTGATTGCATTACGATGAAGTAAATGCAAATAGAAGTTGATGATTGTGACATTGTGGGTCCGTGGATCTGACTGAATGGAGGAAGAGAACCAAGAGGTCTAGAAAGAACTGAGCAAATTAGTATGATTGGTAAGCTGGATAAAATTAGGGATGAGGGATGAGTCAGAGAGGGACCCTGGGTTTCTGAGAGAGGGATCCTCTGTAATCACTAGATCCTACCATGAAATGTAAAGTGGGGGTCTCAAGCACTTCGCCCCTTAGAGGTTAGCCACAGAGCACAGCCCAGTAGGGCATCTACTTGCTCAGACCCACTCAGCTCTGTATCTCTACCAGCTGGAGTTAGCTGTGGTGTGAGATGACTTTTTTTTTTGTCTTGTTTTGTATTTTCTCAGAACACTGGGCTGAATTACCAATGCACAGAGCAGAGACTGGGTGGACAGGCAGTTTGGGGGCCCTGGAGGGATGCAGAAGCCTTGAGGCTGGTTTTTTGTCAGGTGGGAAGATAACAAGATTCTGAGGTAGAATTCAAAGTTAGAATCTCAGCTAGGGATCAAGGGGACTGTTCAGTTCACATGGGCTTGAGTGTGGACAGTGTTGTTCTTAGTATACCATGGCACACATGGCTGTGACGGGGTTAATCTTCTTCCAGGAGGAAGAGTAGAAGAACCATCTAGCAAGCCAGAAAAGTCAGAGCCCAAGGGAAGCTGATGGGAAATCATGAAGCTCAAGCAAAATCTGAGAAGACAAACATTCACTCAACAGGTGTTTCCCTTTGATCCCTTGGGTTCTAGAAAGTTCTGAAGTCACAGGACATAACAGCACATCAGGAAACATCATCTCCATTACTAAACTGGACATTGCCACTGAGGAATAGGATCTAACCATTTCAGTACAGCAGTTCTAAAGCTTTAATGGGAGAGAGGGCTCAACAGTGCTCTGTGTGTTTTGTTTTCGTGTATGTATGTTAATGGGAGCTGAGGTGGCGTGGCCACTTTTCATGCAATATATATTATAGAGAAAGTAGCTTTAGGTTGACTTCACTGTTAAGACCCAGTTTGGAAAGCCCAAGTAAAGGCCAGTACTAATGTAAATACTCCCTCTCCCCCCTCTTCCTCCCCTCTCTTTTTCCTCCTCCTCCTCTTCCTCTTCTTCTTTCTCTTCCTCCTTCTCCTCCATCTCCTCTTCCTCTTCCTCCCCTGTCCCTACCCACCCCCACCCATCCACTTTCCTTCTTCCTTTCTGGTCTTACAAACTCATCCTAGCTATGTGCGTGGCTGGCTTTTTTCTCAACCTCTGTTTGCCTAACCGGTTCTCCTGATTTCATCAGTTACTGATCAGCCTTTAAAACTCTGGGCTGGCAAAAATGACTCCATGTTTTTAGCTCAATCCCAGAAGGAAACCCCCTTTCATTGAAGCTTCGGTTTTGACATCCTGAAGAACAGAAACCGTGGTGGAACAATTTTTGGATAACATCAAAACAAAGTGGAGAAGCTGTGGGAACTGTGGAGCTTCAATATTCAGAAGCCTGTGTCTAGGGTCAGTGCCAGGAGCAGAAGCTAAGGGAAGTCCCAGGACATGATCTCTACACATCAGATGCTCTACTAGCAGGCCATGCTAAGATCTGGTTTCTTGGGGACTGCTGTCAACTGTACTCTTAATTTAGCCTGCACTAATCTGATGCTTACAGGTGAACACACAAGGTGCAGATATGTACTTGGTACCTATCATGAAAACACTGGAAAGAAACGAATACTTTCAAGTTTACAGAAGGGAGTAAGGAAGAAAGAAGCAGAGATGGTGATTATACAAAAGATTACTATAGACTGGATATCCCAGGCATCCTCAGACAACCCCCCCCCACCGCTGTAACCCCCTCAATCACCAGGAAGCCTTGTAAAAACAGACTGCAGAGCCAGCCTGTCTCTGAGTCAGTCAATGTCGAATTTGGATTTCTCACAAGTTCCTGGATAGTGTCTTTATGCTGATCTCCAGACCACACTTTGTGAGGCAGTAGGCTACCCCTGTGTGCTCTCCTCTTGCACTGGTACCAGAAGCAATTGGTTTTGATACTTAGGTTCCTGAGAGTGTTCTTGTTCAATCTCTTGCATAAGATTTCCTCTCTGATGAGATGAGTCAGATATTCATGTTTAACAGTGTTTTAGGGGATTCACGAGAAGCCTAAACTCTCAGTTTTCATTTCTAAAAAGGCTGGAAAGTATTATGAAAAAATTTCAAAGGTCAGAGAGAGCCATTTTGAGTCTTTTATGTGACTAAGTATAAATCAGACTTCTCCTATCTATGGTCTCCCCTTTCCAAAATATATCTTTTGTGGGGGCGTGACAGGAAGGAAAGTTAAATAGAATCTCAAATTAGTAATTTTAGAAAAGAAAAAAATGTTAAAATCTTACTAAAGAGCTGTGGGTAGTGGTACACACCTGTAAACCCAACACTCAGGAAACTGAGGCAGGAGGATCACAGTGAGTCTGAAGTCAGTTTCACCTACATAGCAAAACCCTGCCTTACCCTTCACTCTTTCCATAAAACAGTCTTACTTGTATAAAATTAATTTTTAATGTATATCTGTATACTGTGTGTGTGCATGGTGCCCAGGGAGGCCAGAAGAATATGTTGGATTTCCCTGGAACAGGTGGTTATGAGCTGCCATGTAGGTGCTGGGACTTAAACCTCTGTTCTCCAAAAAAGCAGCTAGTTAGTGCTCTTAACCACTGAGCCATCTCTACAGCCCCATTAAATTGAATTTTATTATTACTCATTATGGGAGATGGGATTATGATAACAATTTTTTTATAATACTAAGGTGTTTAACTATTTTACTCTCCCTTCACAGTGTAGAGTGGAATTTTCTAGAAGGTACATGCATGATAACCTCACTCTGGTGTTAACATATATGGATTTATCTTGTTGTTTATAAAAGAATTAATAAATAATATTTTTAAACTTTTCTTGGTTTTAGTTTTTAAGATGATTAATATTGATAGATACTAGTTTACTTAAGAAAGCCTTTAGGGATCCTCCATAGTTTAGAATGGTTTTAATAAATTTGTAATAATATAAAGAAGGTCTGACAGATTATGCTGAAAAGCTGTTGTGGTTTGGATTGGAAATGCTCCCCACAGGTTCCTGTGTTCAAACACCAGGTAGTAGTGCTGCTTTGAGTTTTGGAACCTTTAAGAGGTAGGACCTTGCTTATGGAGACAGATCACTGGCCATAAACCTTTGAGGGTGACAGCCCAGCCTTACTTCCAGTCTTCCTCTCTGCTGTCCCAGGAAGCCACCATGTAAGGAGTTCCACAACATAGTTCTGCTGTCACAGAGTCCCCCCTCCATGCCTTACCCTCTAAAACGGTGAGCTAGAGCTCACCTCTGCTCTCTACCACGTTATCTCTGCTGTTTGATCGCAGTGATGAAAAACATAACTAAGCCAAAGATAAGAAATGGTTTGGAGATTTGTGTGAGCATCCCAGCCAGACTCAGGTACAACTACAATCTCAGAATTATCAAGCTTGAGATGTAAAGCAATGGGAAATGAATCCTTATGACAGAAACTTCAATGACGCCCAACATCAGTTAATTTTTGACATGCTGTGACTTGCTCAAAGGCTGGGCACTCCTAAACCTTCCCCTGCTAGCAAACACTCTCCTCTGGTGCTCCTGGGATTCCCTAAACCTTCCCCTGCTACCCCAGACCCAATCGGGGAAGTGGCCAGAGGCTACTTACCTGAATTCTTGTATGTCTGGTTGGCTTTCTCTCCTACAGTTTTACATTCTATCCTTCACCCCCAAGGCATGGCAATTCTCTATCTTCCTTTCTCCCAATTCCTAGCCCATAAATCCAAAGGTCCCACCTCAGTCTACCTGCCCAGTCATTGGCCATTGGCCCTTTATTGATCAATCAAAAAACAACTGGGGACAAGGACCTTCAGCATTTGGACATGCAGATTCCTGATTTTTGGAGGCTGGATTAATTCAAAGCATTAGGACTAACCCTCAACACCTATTTATTAAAGGCAGAACTTGGGGATACAGGCTTTGTGAAGCTAAATTGGTCTTTGGATAAACCTAACACTACTGGTGACATAGAAGAGGAAAAAAAAAACTACAAATTTGGTGTTTTTGTTATCGAGACAGGGTCTCACTATACAGCCTAAGCTAGCCTTGAGCTCAAAATCCTCCTGTTCCTGCCATTTCAGGTATGCATCAACTTACCCAGCTATAAACTTGTTTTTCTTGGTCCTTGAACTTACTATGTATTGACAAATACTCTTGAACTTCAGGTCCTCCTGTCTCTACCTCCTGAGTGCTGGGGTTACAGGCACATACCACCATGCTCCATTTACACAATGCTGGAAATAAATCACAGGGCCTAGTGCAGGTTAGGCATGCACTCTGACAAACCAGACTTAAAAAAAAAAAATCTTGAGACAGATACCAGTATATTAGGATACTCTGGAATCCTCCTTTTTCTTCTTCAAAATTGCAACTAGAGTTGTAAAGGTCTTCCCCCTAAGCTGAGCAAACAGCCCAGATAAACCTGAACTCTAGTGGTAAATGTGGAAAGGGGAAACTCTGATCCATGTACATCAAGATGGAGGTTCGGAAACACTACATGCAGAAACTCCCTAGATGGAGTGACAGGATGATGGGTGACGGTCTGTATTCTAGCTAACAAGCTACAGAACTGGACTGTGTGCACATCCCTTGTAACCACCTATGCATGAACTGGGGAACTTAAAATCTCTAGATGTTAATCTGCTGGGCTGAAAAACATTCCACCTCCTATGTGACCAGAAAAGTGGGGGAGCAAAAGACAACAGAACTGGTTCCCTTCCTACCTACCCACGGCCTCAGTGTGATGGGAAGGGGAAAGATGCAGAACGGTTCAGGCCAAAGCTCCAGTCTTCTTCACAAAGATGCTTTGTGAGTTATGGAGGAGAGGCAGTTCTAATCCCTGAGTCCCTGTTAAACTGAAGTACCTGAAGACTTAGAACTGTCTGTGTTTTGAGACCAACCGCTATGAATACAAGCCCTGCAGACTGGACACGGAAAAACAAGAGAGAATTAGAGACATCCCTCTGAATTTTTCTTTAGTAAATATGGTCTAAACAAGATCCAAGTGTTCCTACCTGCCCAGCTTGTGAGGAATGGTTAGCTGAGGGTATGAGCAGGCGTACCTCTCAGGAGAAAGCGCTCGGGGACCCTCCCACAGGTTCACAGCAAAGTGAGTCTCCAGGTGGACACTGTCCCAGGAGTCGAATGGACACCCACAGACATGCAGGCTGCTGCCTGCTACACTCCCTCTCCATCATCTAACAGCTTTGACCCAGAGGTCAAATTTTAAACCAAATTCTAATTGAGTTAATAATTAATCTAGGAAATTACTGCAGTGGATGAAGGAAATAAACTTTGGGTGAATAAGAAATGTTCAAAGGAAGACACCGAAGGCTTAGAATCAGATATTAACTACTATGACTGTAAGTTATAGTTCTTACCTTAGGTTTCTGAGGCCAATCTGTTCCCTCATCTTAGGAAAAAACAAATGGTATTTTTGCTCCACAAAGGACATATTTGGGAGTCATGGCCATTTCCTTTTCTCTCCAACAATTCCCATCCCTAAAGGTGTCTTGGGGTTGACAAAAGCATCTGCTACAATTCTGTATTAGTTACTATGATCAAACACTTGACAGGAAGCAACTTAAGAGGGAAAGGGTTTATTGCTGTTCTAGGGAATTCAGCCCATAATGGCAGGAAAGGTATGACAAGAGATGTGGAAGGCGCAGGTCACATCTAAAATCCAGAAGCAAAGATGAAAGTGGTGGTCAACTTGCCCATGAAATGGCATCACTCACATTCCATCGGGGTGGATCTTCCCTGCTCAGAAGCATCTTTATAGATCCACACAGAGGTGGGTTTCCATGGTGGTCCTAAATCCAGTCAAGTTGGCAATTGTGGTTATCAATTACAAATTCAAAGGAATCCTAAAACACACATCATGAGATACACTGGCTACAAGAACACATTATGCTATCTCAAAGCAGGTGCAAATGTTTATACATATTTGGTGGTCCACACGGGGGGAGGAGGATACTCTTCATCACACTCTTAAGCTCAAGCCAGGCTATATGATTTGATTTTGCTAAGAAATATGATGGCATCATGCATATCCATGCCCCAAGCTGAAGCTTAAAGAGACAGCACCTGCCTCACCAGCTACTCTTTCTCTTGCCTGGTAAGTTTAAAGAGAGATAAAGGTTGTTTTTTTTTTTTTCTATTGGTGTATCATGGTGTGAAGACCAATTAGAACATACTCTTAGCCAATTTTTGATACAATGTAGCTTAAATACGAAACACATTTGTGTGGTTACAAACCCTAAATAAGTGAGCAGTCTTTGTTACTGAAGCCCACCTGGCTGATTGTGATTGATATACAGACATCTGTACCCACATGCAAATTACAGCTGCACTAGCTATCATAGTGTTAGAAGATGCTATGTAGACTGTGTGAGAGAATTCTCAACAACAGTCTTACTCAGTTATGAATCCTGCATGTCATACTACTGATATGGCGGGCAAGATATGTCAACTGGTTCAACAGCTCCATGGTTACTATGGGATAACCAACTACTTTATGATTAGATCTGAGGCCTGTTCCATTCAACTCATGCCTGGTACAGTAAACTTGATCAAAAGTCAGAGGCCAGAAAGGCCATAGCCTCTACTCAAGAAACATCAGCTGTTGTTTTTGCTAAATGGACAAGATGTCCTGTCAAATTGTCTCCTGAATATTTATGCTTATACTTATAGAATACTATTTGCTCAACTTTGGTCATAGAAGCTTCATTTTTTGCAGTGACAAGTATTTATTGTAGAGACATAACTAGTCAAGGTTCTGATAATAAGAGACTGTCAAGCTGGGTGGTGGTGGTGCATGTCTTTACTCCCAGCACTTAGGAGGCAGAGGTAGGAAGATCTGTGTGAGTTCAAGGCCAGCCTGGTCTATAGAGCAAATTCCATGTTAGGGCTACACAGTGAAACCCAAAGAGAGAGGGGGGGGAGGGAGAGAGAAAGAGGCAGAGAGAGACAGAGACAGAGAAACAGAGAGAGATGGAGACAGAGACACAGAGAGAAACAGAGAGATGAGACAGAGTCAGAGACAGAGAGATGAAATAGACAGAGACAGAGAGAGTCAGAGAGATGAGACAGAAAGAGACAGAGAGAGATGAGATAAAGACAGACAGAGAAATAGAGAGACTGTTGAATGCTCAGCCATAAATGAGACATTTCTCCCACCTCTTCCAAGGCTCATGTAAGATCAAAGAACAGAAAGATGAAGAAAGAGTGTAAAGGCCAGAGGATGTAGATGGGTGGAGTGTTGAGAAACATTTTCTTCTTACCAGTTACAACACTGAAGAAAATGTCCCTCCCTCCCTCAACAACCAATAGCTGTCTATAAATGCTCAGGGAGCCCCTTACCTCTATGATGGAGTATTATTGATGGGCTCTATGCAGGTTGTGAGCATGTAATCACAGCTTCTGAGTGCAACACACACACACACACACGTACACACACATACATATACACACATACACATGCATACACACATATACACATGCATACACACACATGCATACACACACATATGCATACATATACACACATATACACACATATACACATATACACACATATACACACATAGAGTGTGGAAATAGAAGGGGACTATCTGTAATGAGAAAAGAGATGAGTGGTAGAGGACAAGAAGGCAATGAGTATGAGTATGACCCAAGTTCACCCTGTGTACATGTACATCTGTGATGAGAAAGAGACCATCAGCAGGAGGGAGGAGGACAAGAGGGTAATGGGAGTGCATATGACCCAAGTGCATTATATATACATGTATTAAAATGTCATAATGAAACTCATCAACATGTACAATGAATACA